GCTTGTCTAGCCAGCTGTCTTCCCCTGGCAGTTCTGTCTCTGTCTCCAGAGTCCTGAGAGTACGGTGGCCCTCGTGGCCAAGAGGCTTTTATGTGGGTTCTAATCATTACGTCTTGCTGGGTCTGTTTCATTCATTCAAAATATAAATGGAGTGAGTACCACTTCTGCACAAGTCTGGTCTCTGAAGTTGTTGTCAGTGAGCAAGATAGCTCTAGTTCCTGCTCTCATGCAGATTACAGTGTAGATGAGAAGCCGCTGTTCATGCATTTAATACAGTAAATATTTACTGAGTGCCTGTTTTCCAGGTCCTGCTTGCCTAGCAGCTAAAGGTTATAATGGAAATTTTTTAATTATATAATCGTTTAATATTAATTGTATCTTGAACTTTAAGGAGAAGGTGGTATCTCTCCGCTGGGGGTTATTTCTGGAAACACTACTTTTTCTCAAGCATATTTGGATACTTAGGCTTCTTATGGAAAAGGGACCGCATTGTTTGCCTGCAGCCTGTGTACACTCTTCTGTCTGTTTAAATATTTAAAGCATTTATTTGTGTGCAGGCGCATGTGGAGGTCAGAAGACTGGGAGGTTTGCTCTCCATCCACCCTTACTTGTGTCCCAAGGACTGATCTGGACAGCAGGCATCTTGCCGCTGGCGGCCTCTCCTGTGTACTTTAGTTTGGCTTACGTATGACACACTTAATACAATGTAGGTGTTTAGGGGATCATAGTGGTTCTGTACATGTTCAGCACAAGTACTTTTTTCTGAGCATTTTCAGTTCCTCACTGGCTGAATCTATGAATGCAGATCCCCCAGATTCCGAGGGTGGTCTAGAAGCTGTGAGAGTCTAGAGTAATTGTGCCGTCACACTCAGAACCGGGCGAACGCCAGTCAGGGAGAGACCTTGAGGAAGAACCATCCAATAGAGGAGTGAGTTGGCCAAGTACAAGAATTCAGATGGGAGCAGGGCAGGGAGAGACGGGGGGGGGGGGCGGGGGCGGCGGGGGGGTGGAGCTTGCTCACTGCAGTCACTTACAAAGTTGTCAGCTACCATGGCAACTCAGGGATGAGATTCTGTTCTGATCTCTCACTCTGTGATGAAGCTTATGATGGAGATTGTATGGAGCTTACCCTTCAGCGATAGTTTTGAAATTTCCATTTCCATTTGTAACACGTACAGTTAGCACGTGTACATGAGAAGATAATTACCCATGTAAATGAAGTGTCGGGGAGTGGTAAACTCACAGAATATAGGCCTTTAAAGAAGGGCACTGTTGGGGTAGGTTTGGAGGATTGTGGAAGACCTTGGAGGGAGTGAGACTTGAATTAAAGGAAGAGAGGCTCGGGAGAGCAAAGAAAGGAACTAGACATTTCCAGTAAAGGGAGAAAAAGGCACAGGAAAGAGGCGGGAACTGGAGCCGCTGAGGCTGAGTGCGCTGTGCCTGTAGGTCTCAGCTGGCCCTCCTGCTTGCCTGGTTCCTGAGTCACAGCAGAAAGTATCGGAAGGTCCTGGGATTACCCTTGACTATCCTGCCTGGGCACTGGGGCTTTCCAGTGAGAGGCCTTGCAGAGCACCAGGGCGCATGTCTGAGTGACTAGTTCAGGGGATACAGAGCACAGCCTGTGTGGCAATGGCATGGAGGGGTGGGGTGGGGATGGGCTGTTATCCATGAATACGTGAGTGAGCACTTGTGCTTGTGCGAGGTCCTCTGAGGAGGTGGAGAGAAGAAGGGGGGGCAGGAGTCAGTGCCCCTCCCTTCCCTGTCTCGTAAACTAGCTGACAGGCCAGATCCCTTCTAAACCTTCTTATTTGTTTTGTATAGCTCTATAGTACTGGTTCTCAACATACGGGTCGGAAACCCTTTTATAGGGGTCGCATAAGACCATTGTAAAACACAGATATTTATGTTATGATCAAATTTACAGTTATGAAGTAGCAATAAAAATAGTTTTATGGTTGGGGATCACTGCAACATGAAGATATATATTAAAGGGTCGCAGCGTTAGGAAGGCTGAGATCTCTGATCTAGAGCTAAGTAAGAATGTTGGTTTTTTTGCTTTGTTTTGTTTTTTAGTTTTTATGTGCATGTGGAGGGCAGAGACTTCAGAGTCTGTGAGTGTTGAGAACTGAGCTCAGGTTCTCTGCAAGAGCAGTGTGTTCTCTTGACCATGGAGCAGCTCCTGACAATGATTTTCATTTGTTTTGTGTGTGTGTGTGGATTGAGCCTAGAACCTCAAGCATGATAGACAAACACTAACTGAGCCACAATTGTGGCCTCGGTTTTTGTTTATTTCCCTCCCTCCCTTCCTTCCTTCCTTCCTTCCTTCCTTCTTTCCTTTCTTTCTTTCTTTTTTTAAATAAAGCTCTCAAGTAGCCCAGACTGGCCTCAGGTTTTCTGTATAGCTAAGGGTGACTGAATGACCTTGAATTTATTATTTTATATTTGAGGCAGAATCTCACTGTAGAGCCCTGACTGTCCTGGAACTCTATGTAAACCAGACTGACACCAGACTTACAGAAACTGATCTGCCTCTGCCTCCCAAGCCCTGGGATCAAGGATCAAGGCCACCACACCTGGCCAACCTTGAATTTTTGATCCTGGGCATTAAGATTACTGGCACACCCAGTTCATATCCTTTTGGGAATAGAAACCAGGGCTTCATGCCTGCTGGGAAAACACTCTACCCACCGAGCTGTGTGTACCCTGTTCCAGTTCTTATGCTTTTAATTGATCTTTTTCAAATCAAAATGATATTTCATAATGCATGAAAATAAGTTGAAATTTAAACTTCAGTGTTCATAAATGTTTTTGGAAAATGGCAGTGTTCAGTTATTCATCTGTGGCTACTTTTAACGTGAAGGGCAAGGGTTGTGTAGTAACAGAGACATAAAGTCCAAAATATGTTCTCTTTGACACTTGACAGAAAACTGCCCTCCCTTGACTTACACCCATCCGTGCTCAACCAGCCTCCCTTTCTGAAACAGAATGGCTGCTGTCTCCTTCCTGAGCTCTGTCCTTCTACCCAGGCTTTATTTTGTAATCTTTGTGCCAAGATCCAACCCAGGTTTCCCACCATGTCTTCCTCCTCCTCCTCCTCCTCCTCCTCTCTCCTTTCTTCCTCCCTTCTTCCCCTTCTTCTTCTTCTTCTTCTTCTTCTTCTTCTTCTTCTTCTTCTTCTCTTCCTCCTCCTCCCCCTCCTCCTCCTCCTCTTCCTCCTCCTCCTCCTCTTCTTCCTCTTCCTCCTTCTCCTCCTCCTCTTTCCTTCTCTTTCCTCCTCCTTCCTCCTCCTCCTCCTTCTTTTTCTTCTTCTTTTTTTTCCAAACCAGGACAAGACTGTGTAATCCTGACTGTCCCAGAACTTGCTTTGTAGACTATTCAAGGCTGGCCTACCTCTGCCTCTCAAATGCTAGGGTTAAAGTTTTATGTACCGTAGATAACTCCCACCATGTTTTAAGCAAGTACTCTATCACTAAACTGCCCCCAATCCCATGGGGCTTTTTAAATACTGTCTCTCTCTTCTGTGTGCCCCTTTTGAGGCCTTGATTCACTTTCCTCCAGGGAGTTTTCTTTTGTTGGGGACTAGGGATGTAATAGCTCAGACACTGAGGTGGAGTCTTGTAATACAGCCTTGGCTGACCTCACACTCACAGAATTCCTTCTGCTTCAGCCTCCTGGGCGCTAGGATTACAGGTGCGCATCACCCCCTAGCTCTCCTGGGACTTTTCCCCTCTAAAAATAAGCCCTCAGCTCTGTCCAGAAGTACTGGTCCTTCCGCCACCCAGACTCCAGCCCCAGCACTGCAGTGTTCTGCTGAATCATTAGGGAATCGTGTGTGTGTGTGTGTGTGTGTGTGTGTGTGTGTGTGTGTGTGTGTGTATGTCAGTGTCCCCAGCACTGCAGAGTTTTGCTGAATCATTAGGGAATCCGTGTGTGGGTGTCGGTGTTGGTGAAGGGGGGTGATGACAGTGGTTTTTTCCTGGCCTTTACTTTGTTTACTCTGACCTCTGTTGTTTTGATTTGTTTTTCATGAGACCTTTTTTTCTTTTAGCTGCTGTGACTTTCTTTGCTCTAGCTCTTTCCCACGCTGGCCTACCAAGTCTTACTAGTTAGTGTGTTAGATGCTGCTTGCTCTTTTTGTCTGTCCTTTGTCCTGTGGTATGAGCTATTTTATAGGATTCTTTATGTGTCAGTTGCTGTATTAAAATACTTTATACAAATTATTCTTAATCCTTTTTTTGTTGTTTTGTTTTGCTTTTGTATTTTCGAGACAGGGTTTCCTCTGTAAACCTGGCTTGCCTTGAACTTAGAGAGATCTGCCTCCTGAGTTCTGGAATTAAAGGTGTGTGCCCCCACCATCCAGCAAATTTTTCTTAAACAGCTTTTATTTTATGTATTTTTAAAAGTTTATGCCAGGTGGTGGTGGCGCATACCTTTAATCCCAGCATTGGAAGGCAAAGGTAGGCAGATCTCTGTGAGTTCAGGGACAGACAGGCCTACTCACAGAGAAACCCTATCTTGAAAAAAGATATGTATGTATATATAATTTTAAACTACCCATGCGTTTATGACTATGTGAGGATATTTGCAGGGGAAGTGCAGGTGCCCATGGAGGCCATCGATGACAGATCCTCCCGTGAGCTGCCTGATGTGGATTCAGAGAGCTCAGGTCCTCTGTGAAACAGCGCATGCATGCTCTTAACTGCTGAGCCATCTCTCCAGCTGCCAACAGCAGCTTTTCAAAAGATAGACTCAGGGTAGCTCAGTTGGTCAAGCGCTTGCCATCCTACACAAAGCCCAGGGTTCGCGCCTCAGCACTGCGTACAAACCTAGGTGTGCTGATACATACATGCGCACACTCAGAAGGCAGACACAGGAGGATCAGAAGTTTAAGGGCTACAAGTTTGCAGTCAGCTTATGCTTCATGAGTCCCTGTCCCAGGGTGGAGAAGTGAGACTGGACAGCTGTTTCCCCACTGATAAGGTATCCATGTCCTCCATCAGGTCAAGCGGTACCAGTGCACCTTTGAGGGATGCCCCCGCACCTACAGCACAGCAGGCAACCTGCGCACCCACCAGAAGACTCACCGCGGAGAGTACACCTTCGTCTGTAACCAGGAGGGCTGTGGCAAGGCCTTCCTCACCTCCTACAGCCTCAGGATCCACGTGCGAGTGCACACAAAGGAGAAGCCATTTGAGTGTGACGTGCAGGGCTGTGAGAAGGCGTTCAACACACTGTACAGGTCAGCCTCTCCATGGCTGTATCGCCAGCATCCTGATTCTGAGCTTGGGAATGTAGAACACCTTTTCCATGCATATGGAAACTTTTGGGACTGGAAAGCATAGCTGTGCTTACCTATTTAAAATGCATTATCAAAACCTGCTACTTAAATAAGTGTACCAGGGGCTGGGTGGAAGTGTTGGCACATCTACGTGTAGGGTTGCATCTCAGGGAGCGACATTGTGCCCTTGGGATTTTAGTAGTTGGCTTAGAGTAGTCCTCCCATTGGCACAAAGCCTTTGAGATAACTTTCTTCTATCCTGAGAGGTGGGGAGTTGCCACTTGATTTCTATTTCTTTTTTCATGTTTGTGTCAGGAGACTTACACCACTCTTCAGCACGAGGCAGAAAATAACAAAATAATAGCCCATACCATTCTGAAAGTGCTTGATCTTGTTTGATCCTAGAAGCCAAGCAGGGTTGGGCCTGGTTAATATTAGGTGGAAGAAATAATAATGGCTAACATTGATGTGTGCGAGGCACAATTCTACGTGCTGGTCCCCAGAATAGTTGCTAAGTGAAAAGAAGTACAGAGGAGTTCTGTAGGGTCAGGACCAGGACTTGAACCCAAAGGAGTCTGTCTCTAATTAGTGCTCACGGCCACTGTGCCTTCCTCTCTGGGTAACTTTCAGGTGCTAATGTGCACTGGTGCAGCGTTCTGGTGCACTTGATCCTACAGTGTAGTAGGCTGGTACTGGGAGGCTCTTTGGTATATTCAGCATGGGACATTTCTCTGGGATATTTTGCAGGTTGAAAGCACATCAGAGGCTTCACACAGGGAAAACGTTTAACTGTGAATCTCAAGGCTGCAGCAAGTACTTCACCACACTCAGTGATCTACGGAAGCACATTCGAACCCACACAGGAGAAAAGCCATTTCGGTAGGTCTTGCTTTCTCCAGTTTGTCACTGACCAGGTCTCAGCTGGGATTCTTGGTAGACTCTAGGAAGGTTTCAAAGTAGGAAGAAAATCCCTGACCCATTTCCTTACTTGGTGGTGTTAGCTTCCCACAGGGTAGCAGTGACCACTTACTGTGGGTTGGAGGAATGCCAGTGGACTCAAAAGCATCTCTTCCTGGGTGATGGCCACCCATTCTGCCTCATTTTTTTTCCTGTACTCTTAAAAAAGGTGTTTGTTGAAGTTGACTTATATGGCAGACACTTTTCTTTGTACTAAGGAAGTACTGAGATCCTTAGTCAAGGGCTGGGGTTTGTAGCCTAGGCTGCAGAATAAGACCCAGTGTCAACACCCCTTCCCCTTAGACAAAGCAAAACATCTTTAGTTGAGTGGGACAGAGCCACAGAGTTGTAGACAGTGTCTGAAGCTATCAGCCAAAGTGGCCTGAGCATGGTGAGGGGAGACCTCTCTAAGAAAGGGGACTTGAGTTGTTTCTGAGTGCGTCCAGAAGGGACAGTGAGGGTGGGAGGCTCAGTGTCCTGCATGTTGCTGTTGCTTTTAATAGCTCATGTTCGTGTACGTGTAGAACCACATTTTTTGTGTAGATATATCAATTTTAATTTTTAAATGTTATTTTATATTTATTTATATTTTATGTCTGAGTGCTCTGCATGTGCACCTGCAGGCCAGAAGAGGGCAGCAGATCCTATTACAGATGGTTGTGAGCCACCGTGTGGGTGCTGGGGATTGAACTCTTGAAGAGCAGCCAGTGCTCTTAACCGCCAAGCTATCTCCCTAGTCCTCCAAATACATATTTATAAGTATGTATCTGTGTGAGTACATGTTATATGTGTGCTGACACTCAAAGAGGCCAGAAGAGAGTATCAGCTCCCCTGGAGCTGAAACTAAATTTGGGTCCTCGGTGAGGGCAATTAAGTGCTCTTGACTCCTGAGCCATCTCCCTAACCGCATTCTCCACAATCGATAAGTCTGTACCATCCTCTTTTTCCTCTATTGCTTGTAACATGTGGCATGGTTCACAGTAAATAAGTCTGTAACTGTGAGGCAACTGTACCATTCTTTTTCCTCTGATTGCATGTGACATGTGGCATGGTTCCAGGCCTACAATAGGTGTTCAGAAGCAGCCTCAGATGATTATATGACATTTTCATAAGGTAATCAGTTTGTAAGGATCCCCATAACTGTGTTTTACGTATTGCTGAAGATTTCCCATAAACAGTGTCCTTGACTCCTGATAAGAGACACTGCTTAAAGTTAAGGCATCAATATGCCACCCTCCCATTTTCAAGTCACTTGTCCTCCTTAGCACACTTGGAGGCAGTTGAAAAGTCTCCAGGAGCAGCTAGCTCTTAGACACCAATTAAATGAAATTGAGGTTTCAATACCATTTAATACCATACTCAGATACATTCTTTTTTTTAAATATTTATTTATTTATTATGTATACAATATTCTTGTCTGTGTGTCTGCCTGCAGGCCAGAAGAGGGCATCAGATCTCATTTCAGATGGTTGTGAGCCACCATGTGGTTGCTGGGAATTGAACTCAGGACCTTTGGAAGAGCAGGCAATGCTCTTAACCTCTGAGCCATCTCTCCAGCCCCACTCAGATACATTCTTGAGTCTCAGCTCCTTTAAGAACAGGAGGTTACAGACCAGTTGGTTACTCTCTGCAGATGCTTAAATACCCCCACCAGGTTGCCAGGGGGACTCTTACTCTATACGGATACATACATTTATTTTTGTGATGATTAAAACAGTTTTGTCTTGAATATTAGAGGAGACCTAGATAGATACAGTGATAATTATTTGTGATTAAAAATCAAAAGGCTTTAAAGAAATTTTCTACTTAAATAAATAAGATGTTTGGATATATAAGAAAATGTATGTAAGTGTTAAGTTCTTGCTATGCAACTGCTAAAGCAATGTGAAGAACAACCGAGACCCTGCCCTTGAGAAAGCAGATAAAAAATACGCACACACTGGCATGGTGGTACACACCTTTAATCTCTGTGGATGCAGAGGCAGACAGACCTCTGTGAGTTCCAAACCAGCCAGAGCTACATAGTGACATCCTGTCTCAGATCGACATCCTCGCCCCAGATGCACACAGAGATGAAGTAAGATTGGATTGAGAGATGCCTTGAAGGAAGCATGTGATAAATGCATTAGTCCTGAGGAGGTGGAGATTATTTCTGTCTTTGATTATCAAGAAAGCATCCAGGGGCTAGGAGAGCAGCTTGCCCAGCATTCTCAATTCCCTGGTGCTGCGCTTTAGTGCTACGTGAGCCAGGAATAATGGTGCATGTCTGTACCTAGCTACAGAGTGAGTTCAAAGCCAGCCTGAGATGGAGGAGACCTTGTCTGAGATGGGGAGGGGTCAGCTAAGTACCGAGAATTATGGCTAGTTCTTGATTACAGCCATATCAGTGCTTTGCGTTTTTTTTGTTGTTGTTGTTGTTTGTTTGTTTTGTTTTGTTTGCTGTTTTTCCAGCTCCATATATACCATTTTTTTTCTTGTTTTGAGACAAGGTTAACTCTTTAGCCCAGGCTATCTATGAATTTGTGAGCCTCCTCTTGCCTCAGCCTCTTGGGCACTAGGATTACAGATCTATGTCTATAGACCCAACTCTCTTTACCCACTCTTGATATGCATAATAATTCAATGGCCATAGATTTTCCACATGGCTCTCACTGCCAGCACAGTTCTGTCCAGTAATTAGTAAGGTTTATATTGCTGGGATGCTCTCAACACTACCTTACCTACAGGCTATCTTAGACTCTCAGCTCCTGCTGATTCCAGATATGCCACCTTTCCCTTCCCTTTTTGTTACATTTATTATTCATTCATTCTGTGTGTGTGTGTGTGTGTGTGTGAGAGAGAGAGAGAGAGAGAGAGAGAGAGAGAGAGAGAGAGAGGACAACTTGACAGAATTGTTTTTCCCATCTTGTGGATTCCAGGGATCCAAGCTCCTCTACCTGGCCTAGCCATCTTGCCAACCCACCCCCATGTTTTTGTTTCCCTTTCTCTAAAAACTCTGTGACTGATCTGATCTTAGCATTCCAAACATTTTCTCTAGTGCGCATGTACAAGATCTTCAGGATAAAGCTCTGTTATTGGATGACTTTTGTTTGTCTTGTCTTAAACAACTTACTTAGGTGTGATCACGATGGCTGTGGAAAAGCCTTTGCAGCAAGCCACCACCTTAAGACTCACGTCCGTACGCACACTGGTAAGTGAAGGCTGAGTTCCAATTTCCTTTCCTTTCTTTCTTTCTTGTTTTGTTTTGTTTTGTTTTGTTTTTCAAGCCAGGGCTCTGTATAGCCCGGCTGCCCTGGAACTGTCTCAGTAGAACGCGTAAGCCTAGAACTGGAGAGCTGCCCCTGCCGCTCCCTCCTCAGTGCTGAGATTAAAGGTGTGGCCGCCATGCCTGCCGTAATTTCCATTTTCCCTTCAAACCTTCAGCTGACCTCTCCAGGGTTCTCTTGAGACCTGTAAGACTAGGAAGAGAGTGAACACAGTCGGCCTGGCCTTCACCTACAGTGCCTATGTTTCTTTCGTGAAGGATCTAAGGTCTAAGTCAAGAATCCACCCTGAAGCCATGAAACCAGACATAACTTTTTGGGAGAGCTGTGAGGCAGCGGCAGCCTTGTCCTCAGGCCTCCAGACCCAGGCCACGGTTGCTGCGTTCCTCAGCACTGGGTTCTCAGACTGAGGAAGCCTGTGCTGGTTGGTTCAGTTATGAACAGTTCCTGCTCAGACCTTCCCTGTGTTAGAAGGGAGAACTTGCCTGCTGATGAAACTAACATGGCTTCTTCCTTCCTGCAGGCGAGAGACCCTTCTTCTGCCCCAGTAACGGCTGTGAGAAAACCTTTAGCACTCAGTACAGTCTCAAAAGTCACATGAAAGGTCACGATAACAAAGGAACCGTGTACAGTGCACTTCCACAACACAATGGATCAGAGGTGTGTTCTCGTCTCCTATCCTGATCTGGGCACCGCAGGGCAGCTGTTGAGTCCTCTGTTACCTGGCGAGGGAGAAAATGGGTTAGGACCTGTGTGCCTCTGCCATGGGAGAGTGGAAGCCAAAAAACATCACCGGCCTCCCTGTTCATCTGCTTAGCCCTGCTGTGTTACCATCCAGCAGGCATGGGGAAGAAGGTGCCGCTGACTGGCTTTTCAAGGCCTAGCCTGAGTTCCCGTGTCATCCCCCACTCGTTGCTTCCATGTGTGTTCACGTATGTAAGAATACATATTGGGCAGTACAGCTCTCATGTGCACCGGCTTGAGCTCAGAGGACAACCTTAAGTCCTGCCCCTCAGCTGCTGCCTGTCCTTTCCTTCTATTCTTTTGAGACAGACTCTCACATTGGCCTCCCCGGTGTATCGATCACAAGTGTGCACCATACTCCCGGCTTTAAAAAAAAAAAGAAAGCATAAGTTTGGGGACTTGAAATCCATGGACTGAGTTATTACCCCCCAGTCCAGTGATTTGGAGTTTTGTTCTGAGAGAAAAATGTCATCCCATGGTAATTTTCCTACCTCAGTCTTTCATGTGCTGGTATTATGGGCATGAAGCCCCATGCCTGGCTTGGAACTCTTAAATTAATGCCATTTTCCCATTCGTGACTGCAGTAGGTGATAAGTCTACACCACATTTGGAATGGAAACTGGTGTTGCCTCACACCTATGTCAACACCAGAGAGCCAGGCTTAGTCTGGAGGGTTCCCTACCCCTTTGATTGAAGAATAAAAGGTTTGAGAGAGCCTGCCTAACACACTGAGCACAGAGGAGGCCTCTGTAAGTTTTAGGAGCATTGCTTTTTTTTTTTTTAAGATATTTTTATTTTATGTAGATGGGTGTTTACTTCCATGAGCTTGTGTATATCTACCACCTGTGTGCCTGGTACTCTTGGAAGTCAGAAGAGGGCATTAGAGTCCCTACAACTGGAGGTACAGCTGATTGAGAGCCACTGTGTGGGTGCTGGGAACTGAACCTGGGTCCTCTGCAAGAGCAATCAGTGCTCTTAACTGCTGAGCCATCTTTCTAGCCCCTGGCTGGCCTGGAACTGCAGGCTGAGGGAGGGACCTGAGACTGGAAGGATCATCTCGACTGCTTTTAGTCCTGCAGCCTGGATCTCTCCCTAGCTCCAAGCTAACTTATTCATTGATCCCCTTCAGAATAATGAAATTCAGAAAGTATGAAATAAGGTTTCTATTTTTGGCGAAACAGCACACTCAGAAGCCTGTGGTTCCTAGTTTTAAACAAGGATCCTTTAAAAGCACTCTCAGTGCTGGGTAGAAGGCTCAGTGGGTAATGGTGCTTGCCCCATGGCCTGAACCTGATTCCCTGAACCATCGTGGAGAGAACCAGCTTGTGCAAGTTGTTCTCTGGTCTCCACGTGTGTGCTGTGACAGCCCCCACCAAACACACATAGTAAATAATGGATAGCTCTTATCTGTTGAATGTTAAATTCTAGGTGCTGCCTCACTCACTACTCTGTGCTGTCACCATTCCCACGTTACTGATTAAGAGCCTTGGAGCAAGGAGAAATTAAATAGCTTCCAAGGTCTGCATAGCTTATAATGAGTATGACTCCAGAGCCAACCTCTTAAGGTTTGCACTGTTAGAGACAAGGTGATATGAGTTGTAAAGAAGGTGTCTTCTGGTGCTCACCAGCCCCAGTTGCAACTTTTCTTCCGTCACTAACCACATGGCCTTTGGCAGATTGCTTCTGGGCACCTCAGTTTCTTCATCTGAGAAAACCAGACAAGAACTGCTCTCCTTAGGTCAGAATCAGTTTCTTGTTTTGTAGCAGTGCATGGAGACTTGAACTCAAACCCTTTGTGCATTAGTGTATTAGCCAGGGTTCTCTAGAGAGAATAACAGAATTTACAGAATCAATCTCAATCAATCTGTCTCTCTCCACACACATACACACACACACACACACACACACACACACACACACACACACACACATATAAACATACACTTACATATACCTTGGAAATGCAAGACTTTAATAAGTGTTCAGTCCACAAGACTGGATGTCTCAGCTGGTCTTAGTATACACAAGAATCCTGAAGAAGTAGGCACTAATGCCAGCGAAGAAATGGACTTGGTAGCCATTGTGGGAGGAAACAGGCAAAGGAGAGCTTCCATTTTCCATGCCCTTTATATAGGCTTCCAACAGCAGGGGTGGCCCGGCTTAGAGGTGCATCTTCCTACCTCAAAAGATCAGTGGTCTCAATCTTCCTAACGCTGTGACCCTTTAATACAGTCCCTCCTCATGTTGTGGTGACCCCAACCATAAAGTTATTTTTGTTGCTACTTCATAACTGTAATTTTGCTACTGTTATGAATTGTAATGTAAGTGTCTGTGTTTTTCAGTGGTCCCTATGAAAGGTTTGGTTGACCCTACAAGGGCTCTGAGAGCCACTATTCTAGATTAAAGGTGTGTCTTTCCACCAAGAAGATCCTGATTAGAAGTGGATCTTCCCACTTCAAATGATCCAACCTTTTTTTTCTTTTGGTTTTAATTAATTCCAGGTGTGGTCAGTTGACAACCAAGAATAACCATCACACTGAGCCTTGGGTGTACCAGTGTTCAGTCTTGTAAGGGCAAATCTCTGCATCTCTGTTCAGCAGAGGGATGACTCCTGGCCTGAGGCTTAGGGACCATCTGCAGTGCCCTGAGTTTAACATGGACAGTGCCAGCCTAGGCCCGTCCAGCCTCCCACTAACATCGTCACCAGACACTATCGATCTTCCACAACCTGACTGCCCGGACCTGCTTCTCTTGCAGCATTCATGTAGTTCACAGGCAGTTAGGTTTCTCTAGTGGTGGAACTCCAAATCTTGGTGACCTCTTCCTTATCATCTTACATAGCCACTAAGACCGTCTGTCATCTCTGTCTGGAGAATATGTCTAAGTCTAGCTGAGTGTGATGAATGTGCCTGTAATCCTAACACTTATGGGTGGAAAATCAGGAGGATCAAGAGCTCAAGGCCTAACTGGGCTCTGAGAGAATGAAACAGACAGACAAAAGCCCTGCCTAGAATCCAGTCATTTTCCTGGTATCTTCGGTCAGTCTGCTTGTGTGTGCCTGGATTGCCTGGCTTGTGGTATTCCCTGCGTAGTACCATTGCATCGGCCCAGGCTTCTACAGGCTGTCCTGCCTACATCAACCAGAGACCTTTCTGTCTGAACCACAATGCAGATAAGTTCTGTTCTCATGGCTGCTTGGCAGCTTCCTGTGTCATCTAGAGTAAAGGTCACAATCCTGTCAGTAACCATCAAGGCCCTGATCACTTATCTGACATCATCTACTTCTTGTTCACCCCCTTCCATGATGTCATCCTCTTTGTGGTAAAGCAGGAGACACCCACTCTTCCCTCAGGTGTTTCACCTCGCTGGGGGCTCTGCCAGACACTCATGCTCCATGCCTACTTTCGTTTCTACTCAGACACCTTCTATATGAAAGGCTTCCTCTAACCACCTAAAACAACTGTATTGTGAGATAGCTCAGTGGGTACAGGTGATTGTTGCCAAACCTGGCGTCCTGAGTTCAACTCCTGGAACCCCACATTAGAAATAGAGAACCAGTTTCTGAAAGTTGCACTGCAGATGGCCCCTGAAGCTGAAACTAGGAAGCAAGAAAATAAACGCTCTTCCTTTTTGACCCCAGAGCACTCCTCTCCTGCGCTGTGCCTTTGGTGGCCGCCACTAGAATGGAAGCCTAAGTGCAGAGCACGGTTTGTTTATTACTGTGTTCCTGGCCTGTAACAGTACCCAATACTCGGGCACTATTGCACGCTTGTGCTTTGGTACCATTGTTAAAGACAATAAATGTTGCTAAGGATTAAGTTGTGGCTCAGCAGGTAAGAACACTTGCTAACTTTGCAGAGGACCCAGGTTCGATTCCCTGCACCTGAGTGGCAGCTCACAATACTAGTTCCAAGGGATCTGGCACTCTTCTGGCTTCTGAATGCACCCAGGACTTACATACATACAACAAAATACTCTGAAACATAAAAATATATGTCTCTTTTGAAAAGAAAAAGAAGGATTACTTGAACATAAGCCTGCAAAACTAAGACAAGTGCTCTGATCCCCTGGACAGCTCTGAGTGACTTCTGTGGGAAGGGGCTGTAGCTTTGTGGGAGATAGGGGGTAGGGTGGCCCAAGATTGCATCAGACACCTCATTGTTATGCAGTTGGAAGCTCAGGGGTGGTTTAGTTGTGATTGGTTTTGACTCATCGTTTACTATGGATTGCTGGAGCTGAAAAGCAGGCTGGATAATGTGTTGAATGTATACATGGGTGGGAGTGTCTTTCCCACTTGGATATAAGCAGGATCCCACAAAGGGTCAGGACTGTGCCGCATGTTCGGGAATCCAGAGTTCGGAGTTGCCTAAGCAGCAGGATTTGAATAGTTTAACCCTCACCCCCATTCTGAGGAGGACCCTGGGGAGCCCGTATGGAGACACTACCAGAAGGAGAATTGACTGGCTGTTCAGCCAGGAGCACTGCATTTGTCTTCTGTTAACTAGCTGTGTGTCTGTGCAGCACTCCCTTGTCATAGCATCAATTTTCTCCTAATTGAAATGAGTATTAGATAATATTTCTCCAGTTTACTTGAATAGCAAATTAGTAATCTGAAATCACTTTATAAATGATGAAAGAAATTAGACAAATATTAGTAATTTCATGCTGTGTTTTTTTTGCAGCTTGATTTATAAGGTAATTTAAAAACCATTTAGCCACTGGCTAGAGAGATGGCTCAGAGGTTTAGAGCACTGGGTGCTCCTCCAGAGGACCTGGGTTTGGTTCCCAGAACCCTTATGGAGGTTCACTGCAGTCAGTAGCTCAAGTCTCAAGTGATCCAAAGCTCTTTTCTGACCTCCTTGACCACCAAACACACACATAATATGCAGACATACATGCAGGCAAAACACACGTATAAAGTTAAATTAAACTTGAAATAACAACTACTAGTCACTTTAAGAAACAGTTGATCATGGTGTCTCATACCTACAATCCCAGCACTTGGGAGGTGAAGGCAGGATGGTCATAAATTCAAGGACATCTTTGGCTGCCTAGAGAATTGGAAGCCATGCTGGGTTATGTGACATCCTACCTCAGAAGAACTGGGGGTGGAACGGAGGTATTCTAATAATAATATGGGGGGGGGAGCTGGAGAGATGGCCAAGGTTAAGAGCACTGGCTGTTCTTCCAGAGGTCCTGATTTTAATTTCCAGCAACCACATGGTGGCTCACAACCAGCTATGATGAGATCTGTTGCTTGCTTCTGGTATGCAGCCAAACATGCAGACAAAACACTGTATCCATAATAAATAAATAAATCTTTAAAAAAAGAATACGGAGGGGTTTTGTTTGTAAGTTTGTTTTTGTTTTCTTTGTAATGAACTATCTGCTTAGCCCCTGCTTTGGATGTGTTCGACCTTTCTTAAGTGACACGTACAGACATTTGGAACCTTAAGGACTTGGAAATGAAGTATTTTATTGTGTATTGTGCTGCTATAATTTTTACTTATTTTATTTTTTTTACATTATGATTCTTTTTCTTTCACAGGATACAAATCACTCACTTTATCTGAGTGAGTTGGGCCTTCTGTCCACGGATTCTGAACTGCAAGAAAATTCCAGTGCAGTAAGTAGGAGGGGGCGCTAGAGGAATTCCTGTGGAAATGGAGGAAGGCCAGGCTGAAGCCTCCTAGATCTGGTTGTGTTCGGTTGCTACTCTGGAAATGCCTTTGGCCTAGATCATTCCTTGGCCTTTTGATCCCAGAAGATTTCTTATTTTAATAACTTAGGCAAATATTCACTGAATAATGTTCCGGCAGCCACTGTGCAGCCTCCGATGCAATTAGGAAGGTGTGGCTTGGCCTCAAGGAACTTGAGGTCTAGTTAGACGTCAGAATTGGAGTTCCTGGACTTGTGTCACCTGCCTTAGGCTGCTTCCTCCTTCGAGCTCACCTTAGTGGGCTGGCTACGCAGGCCTCCACTCGGGGACAAGCCCACTCATCTTTGTCACTGTGGTTCCACAGTGCACTAGCAGACCACTACGTGGGGTCTGAGCGTATGCAGTCCAGCTGATACTATGTTTCTCTATACTGATTTTGAGGTTTATGCTCACATTAGATTTCTTCTCGCTCTTCATAATGAATAATGTAATTTAATGTGTTTAAACACAGGCTGAATGACTTAGAAATTTTGTGGGGAAATGCTTCCTTTTCTCAATTGTCTTGTATTTTGAGACAGTCCCACTCAATGTAGTCTAGGCTAGTCTCAAACTTAGGACAGTCTAGGCAAGCTGATTCTTCAGCCATCCAGATGTGGGACCACTGGGATGAGCCAGCATGCTGAACCAAAATAACCTTTTCTCTATGGTGTGGGAGTTGATACCATAAGTGGTCGCTCCTGTGAGAATGTAGGTTCTTACCTGGATGTCACGGCGCACCTGGAGTGCCATGGGGGTGACTGAGGCAGGAGATCACTGGAGCCTAGCAGTTGGAGACATTCTGAGAGCAGTGAGACCTGTCTCTAAACAAGAAATATACATTAAAGTGTATGCTCTTGTGCTCTCCGTAAAACCACACAGTCAGCATAGCTACAGTGATATTAAAAAGTGTACTTGGGCACTGGAGATTTAGACAAGTGCAGTGCCCTGAGTTCCACCTCATTTCGTGTGTGTGTGTGTGTGTGTGTGTGTGTGTTGTGCTGGGAACTTTCATGTAGGGCCTCAATGCATGCTAGGCAAGTATTCTACCCCTGATCTAAATCCTCATCCCAGATAGAAAATTTTCATAGCTAGCATTTGCTCATGGACATAAATGACTATGTTTATGTAAATAGGAAGTCTTGGTGGAGAAGTACAAACTATATAAAAATGAAACCCAGGTATGGGGGTACATGCCTCTAATCCAGTGCTTTGGAAGCTGAGCCAGTAATTTGTGGTCAGCCTATACTATGTAAGTGAACCTCCCAATAAATAAAACAATCCAAGTCAAGCTTGATATATGGGCATTAAAGTGATTACCTGTAATCTTAACACGTGTGAGGTACAGGCAGCAAGATTGTAGATTCAAGGAGCTATGCTATAAAAAAACAGTTCATTTAGAACTGAAAATTAAGACAGATAATTCAAAACCAGGGGCTGTCAAGATAGTTCAGTGGAGAAAGTGCTTGCCACTCGGGCCTGGTGAGCTAAGTTCAGTCTCTGGAGTCTCCAGGCCATAGAGAATTAGCCTTACGGGGTTGTCCTCCACTCTCCATAGTATGCCGTGCTCCTGTGCATGTGTGCACTTGAAGGAACATAAAGAAACCACATGGAAAGATTCGTAGGTCAGATGTAACAGCAAAAAAACCAGAAGATAATCATTGTTAAGTTGGAGATAGCTTAGTCTGGAATAACAAAGATGAAAAACATTGAATATTCCATATGATTGTCATTCATATTACAGAACAAATTTTCTAAAGTTTATACTCCAGATGTCTTAGGAAGCCCTCTGAATTACCTAACCTAAAACTTCTGGGTAGAGTATCCCTCTAACATTTATTTAGTCCATGTGTGTGTAATAATGTTGACTTGTGTGTACAAATACATATCACAGCACATACAGAGAGCAGAAAACAACTTTTGGGTTCTGAGGATTGAACTAAGGACATCAGACTGGTAAGGGCAGTCTCGTTTACCCATAGAGCCATCTGGAAGCCCAGCATTTAACTGTATTACGTAGCTGCGAAGTCCGTGCTGGCCAGAACTATGACAAAGACTTGGAAGCTTTGGGAAGCTCTGAGGCCACCAGGGAAGACACTGATAAATGGGAACCATTAAGACATTTGTGAAAAGTGAAGCCATCTCCAGCATAGTTACCTGTGGCAAGAGAGGAATCATATCCCCCAGTCTAACTATTATGCTCCTAGTACCCTGTGTGTAGCCCAGCTTTGGAAAAAGTTTTTTCAGTCTGTCAAACCAAGATCACAGTTCCTTAAAACAGTTGGACTAATGTGATATTTCTTAATAATTGGGGCGTGGTGTGATCAAATGGTAAATTGTATGACATTATCATCTTGAGGGTGTCTCAGTGCATGTGTCCTAGAAAGGAACTTGTCTGCTCCGTCTTTTGGAGAAGGGGCTGGACCGAGGGCGACCTCCAGGCCTGCTGCTGAGCTCTGACGTCACCTGGTCCTGGACAGCTCCTGCTGTTTTTCCTGCTCTGAGCCAGAGCTCAGCCTGTCCTCACCTCTCTCTGCTTTGGAGAGTCATTCCCACTAATTCTCCAGGAGTTTTGCTCTGAAGCCTGGTGGGGGCTTCAGTACCCACCCTTCCCTCTCTCTGGCTCTTCCTCTCCCTGCCTCCCTCTTTCTTGTTCTGTGATTTGGAACCTTCATCGAGGAGCGCTGTGCATGCACAGAGGGGCACAGCCATACCTAAGCTGCCCGATGAGTCATCGCACCGTGGCTCCGGCACAGATGGAGGAAGTTCTCATGGCTTGGTCTTGACGCTTGCTTCTGTTTGTCTTTCTCTCAAAACACTCGGCTTGAGACATTAATTGTAGCTGAGCGGTGATCGTGGCACACACCTTTAATCCCAACACTTGGGAGGCAGAGGCAAGCAGATCTCTGAGTTCCTGGACAGCCAGAGCTATTATATAAAGAAACTCTGTCTCGAAAAGCAAAAGAGAGAGAAAAGAAAAGAAATAAAAAGAATTAATTGTAGCCCTGTGTGGTGTTGCACACCTGTAATCCCAACTCTTTGAAGGTAGAGGCAGGAGAATTGCTATAAGTTTGAAGTTGATTTATATAGTGACCAGCTGGAGCTGCACAGTGAAGGCCTCTCTAGAAATAAGTATAGAAAAAAACTAAAACATTAGGTTTCATAACCAATATTTCTATTCCTTCCTGTTTTTGTATGTGTGATGTGTACATATCTGTATACAGATGAGGTCAAAGGGTGATGTCAGACATCTTGCTCTGGAACTAGAGCTGATGGGATTCCCTTGTCTTGGCCTCCATCAACACTGGGATTATATGTGCTCAGGTCCTTCCTTCCTTCCTTCCTTCCTTTTTCTTTATTTTTTTTTTTTTGGTGTATTGCAAGGTCGTGTGTGTGTGTGTGTGTGTGTGTGTGTGTGTGTGTGTGTGAGACCCCGCGCGCTAGGGACTTCAACTCAAGTCCTCATGCTTGATAGTAATGGCGCCTTCTCCCCAGCTCGTCACCAACATTTCCAAGACATCACCAGAATAAAAGATGAGGTGCTGGGGATGTGGAATAGTGAGCGAAGTGTATTTCCAGACCTGTGTTTGGATCTCTCGCCTACATAAAAGTCATACTTGGCAGTGCACACCTGTAAGCCCCGGTCTAGGCAAATGGGCAAGCTCTATGTCTGGTGAACTGCCTGAAAATGAATAAAAGTAAAGCATGGTAAAGTTCAGTCAACTTCAGCCTCTGCTCTCTACACACACTCATTCTGAGGACACTGTCTGTATACATCCAAAAGGGTTCCGTAGACTTGTGTCTGCTATACGTCTAGATAAGCATGCGAAGTGTATATGTGTGTATGTGATAAATAGAATTGTTCTCTCTCTCTCTCTCTCTCTCTCTCTCTGTGTGTGTGTGTGTGTGTGTGTGTGTGTGTGTGTTTGACTTTTCAGCAGCATCTGAAAGTCACAGCAGCCTTGGCCTGAGTCCTAACTCAGCTGGGCAGGGAACCCGAGTTGCTGCACAGGCTGCCGCCCGCTCCCCATACTGCCAGTCAGTGACTATGCTTCCCCCTTATTCTTTTTGGTTGGTGGGTTGGCTTTGTTTTAGCTTTGAACTCACAGAGACCCTCTTGTCTCTGCTTCCCAATGCTGGCAGGGATTAAAGGCCGCTACCACCACACCCAACCCCTCACTGGTTTTTGCAGCAGAGGGAATCAGACCAGCTTTAACAGACCTGCTCATCTTCAGCCGCCAGTACTCTGTGGTTATAGGCAAGAGCCACCATGTCCAGGTGGATTGCTTTCAGTTACTTTTATTTGCAGTTAACATAAAATCTGTGTTTTAACCCTGACTTAAACTGTGGGGGTCCCTGGTAACTGTTCCAGGATGCATTTGACTGAAGTCTTTAAACAACTCGGATGCATCTGCTGCAGACTGCCATAGCTTTCCAGTCCCTACCCTGCTGCCACCCTGTTTTCCCAGCCTTTGTGGGCTGATGCCTTGGCCATGCAGGACTCTGAGACAGAAATGGACAGTGGACAGGAGAATTATAGCTTCTTTTCATTTTGTTAAGTTTTGTGTGTATGGGCGAGGTAGGTGCAGATACCCATGGAGGCCAGCGGCATTGGATTTCTCTGGAGTTTGAGTTCCAGGTGTTTGTGAGACATGGGTACTGGGAACTGCGATCTTCAAGGGCAATGTGTGCTCTTAACCACTGAGCCACCTCTGCAGCTCCGCCTTTTCATTTTTAAATGCCCTTGACTTCTGGCTTTTGTTAAGTATAGGGCTTTCACTGTTTTTTGTCACTGAGGTTCTTAGGTTGCTTTGATTTCTTACTGTGGTACATATTAGAATGTCATAGATACTATGTAATGACCTTGAAAGATAGGATGTCACTGCTACAGAAGAGGTGGGAACTGCAGGGAATTGTTTCAGTCTGTTTTCTATTGCTGATAACACAATACCACATACTAAGTTTTACAGAAAGATATTTACTTTAGCTCGTGATTCTGGAAGCCCAGAATTGATGGGTCAGATGTGTGTATGTGTTCCTGCGTGTGTAGGTGTGCATTCGTGATGGATAGGATGTGTGTATGTGCTCCTGTGTGTGCAGGTGTGCAGGCGTGATGGGCAGGATGTGTGTGTGCTCCTGTGTGTGCAGGTGTGCAGGCGTGATGG